ATATATTAATATTATATGTCCAAACCTAATTACGAAGCATGATTCTTAGCCAAATAGGATTCTGAAGCACCAGAAGCAGCCACGTAGGCTCAACGCATTCTGGAATTATATATAGGGAGGATTTGTGCAAATATACAACAAATAAACTACCAGATTAATAAAATTATATTAGTGTTATTGAAATAATCAGATAATATGATAGGTTTATTTATGGTATATAGAATATTCGTTGTACTATGGAGCCAACGATTGGATTCATAGCAAAACCAGTTATGTTAATATGTGAAATGTACAATTCAAGCAAGCATATCCCCTCTATGTATATTTCAGAATGTGCTGAACCTAAGTGATAGTCTCGCACACTTCGGAATTCTACTTGGCGACAAAACATGCTTCGTAGTTTGGTTTAGATAAAAAATAATATTCTTCTAAGTAATAATTTCAGGTTCGGACATTTTAAAAATATTGAAAAACTAACTTGGTAATTCCATAATAGTTTGACTGATATAACCCTTATGTTGTTGTATGGGAACCTTTGGTAATTATACTGATTGACTAATGTAACTGTGATTTATTTTGAAAGCTCTCAATCGGCTCATTAAGTTCCATGAAAAACTCAAATTAGCGTAATAGATACATATATTTAATTTTAAACAATTATTGTTGTTATTGTTATTTAATTTTAAAAATAATTTTCTTAACAATTACTTGTGTAATACACGGGTATTGTATTATTATTAAGTTATACTGCAATATGATACTGTGACTAGTATTCTACCCTGTGCGCATGCACAAATGCAAATAAAATTATATATATTATACATCATATATATATATATTTATGTAAAATTTAAAAATCATAAATTAGATAATAAGGATATCATATTTATAAATTTTATCATTACTATAATGACGATATAAATATAAACTATTTAATGTACATATTAATCTTTAAATTTATACAGTGTTAGTCGATTATAATAATTAATTGAATAAAAAATATTTAAATTATTATTATAATATTTGTGTACAAATCTATATATCTATATATAATTGCTAGCATATAGAATTTAATAAAACATTTAATAAAACCTCCATTCATTTTCCCGCTCATTTTTTCAATTAATGTAGAACCGTTACATTTTACATTAATAAGGTGTAATAATAATTTTAATATAATTTATTCACTACTAACACTAATTGATTACAACTTTACATTAAATAGTATGTGGATGTTACATACTTATAAAAAATTGTATTGCAACTTTTTTTTTAAATATTTTTTCTATAATAAAATATTTTTGTTCTTTTTAAGCGATTTTTATCTAATAAGTTAATTGACATGAGTGTCATAATTAAACACCTTAAAATCACATAAACAAATGCTATAACAATGATAAAAATAATTGTAATATTTTTATAACTAATTAATTGTATGGTCTCTCTAAATTACTAAATTATATTAGCCATTAAAATTTATGGCATCAATATAAAGATTCATACGTAAGTTAAATAAATTATATTTACATTACACATTTGCATGTAGTCCAAATTTAAAATGTAATACATCAATTATTTAATATAAATTTTGTATATATTGTATACATAAATATAATATATAAATTTTTATTTTTCTTTGTGCATGTGCACAGGATGAATACTAGTCATTTTAAAGTTTGGTTATGCCATAAAAGATAATTAATTAATTGTAATAAAAGAAACTTGCTTAATGAGGTGAAAAAAATAACAATTTGAAATATATAGTTTAGAAAACATTAGAACAGCATAACATTTAATGTGTCTTCATTATTAGTTAATACTAGCAATTATATAATAAAATAAGTAAAAAATATAATTGTGATTAATGCAAAAATAACAGAAAAAGACGGGAAAACGAAAAGAGTTTTATTAAATGCTCATGAGCCAGTAATTATATATATATATATATATATATAGATTAGGCCCGATATGCTTTTCCTTGAAAAGAATAAAAAACGATGATAATGCTTTGCCTTTTTCCTTCTTGGAGAAGGGAAATAAAGCAAGTTACATATATATATGTGCTATCTGTATGTGCGTGTTCTTTCTTTATTGTGCATTTCTTCCCAGTTTGCCCTTATAACTTTAGCCTGCACTTTAGCCTACCTATGTCTTAGTTCAACACTTCCTCCTTAACATAAAGTGGGTATTTTCAAGCACACGACACATATCACATGTTCTTTAATAAAGGGTTGGATATATTGGCCCAGTTTGCATTATTATTATTATTATTGGTTTTTTTTTTTTTTTAAATGGATACTTAGATATGTTTGTGTACAAATTATTATTAGTAGTAATATTGTTAATTTTATCTAATATTTGATTTCATCAATTCCAAAATCACATTATCTCCCCAGATTAATAATCTTTTCTAGTTCTCCAATGAATTTATTGGAAAATTAATTGCATACTCAGTGCTGTTAGTTGAGCTTGGTTGTACCAATAAAAGCAATAGTGTACTATAATTATTATAACTTAATTTGCATCATGCAAATTGAAGTTGATGTCAATTGTTTGTGAGGTTTGAGTAAAATTTCAAGATTTCATTAAAAATTAATAATTTAGATTATTGAATGTGTGTCAGGCAGTCGAGGGTCGGGCCGCAGCCCGCTTGACTGGGACAGCCGGCTGAGGGTGGCGACAAGCGCCGGTCGAGGGCTGGCCCACCTCCACACCACCGGAAACGTGGTCCACGGCAACATAAAATCCTCCAACATCCTCCTCCGAGATGACGGCACTGCCTCAGTGTCCGATTTCGGCCTCAACCCCCTCTTTTCTAGCTCCTCGTCCCCGCCCAACCACCGGGCTGCGGGCTACCGGGCCCCTGAGGTGCTCGAGGCCCGTAAGGCGACCTTCAAGTCCGACGTGTACGGCTTCGGCGTGCTGCTCCTGGAGCTTCTAACGGGGAAGGCGCCCAACCAGGCGTCGCTGGGGGAGGAGGGGATCGATCTGCCGCGGTGGGTGCAGAGCGTGGTGCGGGAGGAGTGGACTGCGGAGGTGTTTGACGTGGAGCTGATGAGGTACCAGAATGTGGAGGAGGAGATGGTGCAGCTGCTCCAGATAGGGATGGCGTGCGTGGCCACGGTGCCCGACCAGAGGCCCCCAATGGAGCAGGTGTTGAGGATGATAGAGGATATGCATATGGGGAGAGGTGGGGATACCGATGATGGGAGAGGGGGTTCCGATAGCCAGACGCCCCCCATCGAGTCCAGGGCTTCGCCTTCGGGTATTACGCCTTAGGATAATTTGATGGTGGTGATGATGATGATGATGTTGATGATGATGTGATGATGATGATGATGATGATGGTGGTGGTGGGTGGTTTATTCTTTTGTGCCATGAATTTTTTGTTCTCTTTTCTGAAACCTTATGTCTATTTTTTTGTTCTTGTAGGGAGAGTTAGAGAGCTGTTGATTTGAATTGTTTGTGGGTGGTGTTGTGTTGGGGTGTTCCATGGACTGATTGGAACGGACCCCGTTTGTTGATTCTATGCTGTTTGTTTGTCCTCTTGATTCTTTTTCGTCAACCAAATTCTGTTGTGTTTGGCTCTTCAAGAATCTAATCGTAAGTTTTCATGTGATGCATGTGTTATAATCCCACAATCCAAATTTAAACCTATGGATAGGAGTTGGGACCATAATTAAATAAATGTTTGAAGTGGGGGAGTGAATAAGTGCAATGTTATGTTTCAACTAGGGCTGCAAACGAATCGAGCGGATCATGAGTCGCTTGCGAGCGCTTGAGTCAAAACTTGAGTCGAGCTCGTGTTTGACTGAACTCGAGTCGAGCTCGAGCACGAGCTCATATTTTGCCTTGTCGATCGGTTCAAGATACACGTTAAATTACTAAAATATATACTTGTTATTATATATATTAACATAAGTGCTTAATTGTAATTTTACCTTTTCAATTAAAAAGTTTCGAGCCAAACTCGAGCCGAGCTCGAGCATTTTGATTTCGGGTCGAGCTCGAGCTATTGTAATTTTTTATCGAGTCGAGCTCGAGCTCGAGCAACTAAAAAAAAACTCAATCATGCTCGATAAGGTTAATGCTCGACTCGATTCGGCTCGACTGCAGCCCTAGTTGTAATGTTCAACTAACAATGTCTTCATGAAATCATTCGTTTTTCTTATAACTTTTTCACTAAAAAATTGTTCTATACATGCAGTGTAGTACAAATTTACATGACTATAACTCCTGTTTAATCTTACTGTTCCTACACTCCACTTCCCTAGCTACTTTTCTGGTCGACTCGTGGACTTCAAAACCTATCGTGGATCCCTTCACAGGTACACCAACACTTATCCCCAAGTGTCGACGAAAATGGAACAAATGGAAGAACAGTGCAATCATCTCCAATTTGCGGAATTTACCAAATCACTTTTCACTTAGAGATGATCACTATGAAATGAGGTCTACCCCATTACTTAACGATTACCGTTCACCTTGAATATTTTTTATTTTTATTTTTATTCTATGCACTGAATAATTGAATTAGATAAAAGGCCAACCTTATAACTCTAGCATGTACGAACATTACACAATTATGTGCAATGCACACCGACAATTTTCACCCTCAGTCACTTTCAGTGTGTGAAGCTTTTTCACAGTCGAAGCATTATGAAATCGAACCATATGCTAGTTGCTCCACACATTATTTAATGGGGTAGCACTTTTTGAGTGTAAAGAATCATTGCGTCACATGATGTAAAAACATGAATTGATTTTGATTTAGGATACCATACCAGGTCGAATATTATCTAAATAGTGGCCCGACTCAAATGAGTGAACCAATAGGTTGACCGGAGTACAAGGACATCGGAGGTCAAGAGTCAACAGGTCGGTGGAGACTTCACAACTAAGATAACTCACTAACAGGTGGAGCTATGGTCTCGGCTAGCCTAATGGAAACTCGACTTAAGGCATGAAGGTCGAGGGTGCAACCTAAAAAAACAATTCATACGCTGAAGATCGAATCAAGCTGGTCCAAAGGAGGCCAAGCTAGTCGCACAATTAGATCACCTAATGAGGTAGGCTAATCTGAACACATCATGTTGTAGCAAATTATGTTTATTTACCGAGTAACGAATCTAACGACTCGTTCCACGGGTCGATCTCACGATGAAGTTAGTCGGGTTATTATGCACATTTATTCAATCACAAAAAGAAAAATAAAATTCCTAAACACTCTAATCCACATAGTTCGGTTTAAATTATCAACTACGAAGACTAAAACAAAACCAATTGAAACTACCAAGCAACCACGAAGAACAAGCAAAAATAAAGGAGCCAGGGAGTCAGAAATATATGTTTTGGATCGAACTGCAATTATCGGGCAAGTGATCGTTTGGTTAAATGATTTGAATAACCTACTCGTTCAGATACTTATCCTCAATAACTTTTCGTAACAAGAGAACAAACGTGAACGACAAATTAACAAGTCATTTAACATATAGACAATACAGTTACAAACAAGCCTATCTTATACGAGCCTATTTCGTTCAACTCATCCTCTTTTAGTTCTAAGAGTCGATTAAGATAGACTAGAGGGTGGTTAACCGACTAATCAATTAGAATAACCAACATCATGCAAGAATAAATCGAACTCAATTGTAAATCAATTAGAAATTGAAGTGTCACCCTTCAACAATTCTTAATATTCATGTATGACAATTGAAAAACCCTAGTAAAGATCAACTCGCATAAGAAGAACGATCAACGAACATAAAAATAACAATCGAAATCAGAACATTAATCCCCTATCCCTAGTATCATAATCGATTTAACATCAACAATCTCAACAATCAAGACGAGCATATTCGTTGATTAAATGAAAAGAGAATCTTACGATTGATAAAATCCCCATGTTGAATGTGATAAACAAGCTTAAACAAAAGCAACGACGAAATCCAAGTCCAATTTTGTATTCTACGTTGAAAAAGATGATGGAAAATATTTTTTAAGAGAAGAGGAGAGGGAGGCTAGGTTTTATGTTTTTGGAAGAAGAGATCCTTTCAGCTCGCAATCTCAACCCCGTATATATAGCCTAGTAGACTGCCACGATGCAAAGAGTGGCACGGGCGCAACGCTGGGCAGTGGCGCAACTCATGAGAGGGGCACGGGCGCGACGCTGGGTAGTGGCGCGGCGCGTGATAGTGGCACGATGATGAAGGATCGTGTGTTTGTTCCACTCGTTTGCCTCGAACAAAGCCTCGCCACGACTTGCTCTCAACGATAGGTGTGAACGACTCGGTTATTAGCCTAACTCTCTCACGATACTTGAGTTCACTTGGTAATTAGCCTCGCTCCCTCAATTTTGAACTAGCTCAGGTCTTAGCCTCACTAATTCGATTTGTATGATCGAACTCCCACGAATTCTAACACACGAATGAACAAACGTTCTTTTCTATTAACTCATCATTCTTGGACATGTAAAACAATGAGGGATGATCCCTATTTATAGATCCTAATTATGTCTAATCCTAATCTACCTAGGGAACTAATTAAGCAATAAAATAATAATAAGAATCCTAAACAATCTTGAAATCATAGTGCAAGAAGAAAACTAAATAACTAGGGAGCCTTGACTTACAGTCCAAGTTGGGAAGAATAATCTAGAGAAGATTCAGCTCAAAAAAGGTCTCCCACAAACTCGGTTTTTTGCTTGGCAAGTTCCCCGCCCGTGCGATGCGCCCGTGTGCGCCTGCTCCTGCGCGCGTCCCTCGTGCGCTGTTCTGCTGTGCCGCGCCTGTGTGCGCTAGTGATGACGGATCGATCTTTTGTCTATACTGGGTTGCGAATAAACGACGCACTGAGGCCTTCGTTTATCCCCGATAGATGTATCTAGCAGACGCACTGCGGCCTTCTCC